CCATGTGACTTCCAGCTTTTTTTACAAGCCTCCATTCTTTCAACAGAAGTTCTCAAAGGGTTGTCTGTCTCAATTTCTTCCCTGCCTATCACCTCTTCATCACAGGCTAGTTACGCCTTTTCTTTACTATCTCAAGATTATCCCTATTCTACATGGTCAAACTCAGTGATCAATTCTCATCTCTTGTCTTACCTAATCTATTAGCTTGTTATACAATTCATTTCCTCCTTTGAGTTTTTTTCTTCACGTGGCTTCTAGGACACCATACTCTCTTGATTATCTTCCTACCTACAGTGGTTCTTGGTTTCTTTTGCTAGTTTCTAGTCTTTATGCTGATGTGGAGTACCTTAAAAATGACCCCAAAACAGGACTCATCCATCATATCCATTACTTTGAGCCCATCTTAAGTCTTGGCATGTATCTTTATCAGAACTTCTCTCCAAAATGCCGTTTTAGAGATGTCTAAATGTCACATCAAATATAGTGTTTAAAACTAAGCCAGTTGTAGTGGCACACACCAATAGGATTTGCTGAAGGAGGTGGAGGCAGGAGGATCACAAGTTTGAGGCCAGCCTGTGCTACACATTTAAATAATAATAATAATAAAACTAAACTAGACAACCATTGTTCATCCTTCTATATTTTTTTCTTGAGTTTAGTTCATTGAAACTTTATTCTTCCATTCTATTAGACCAAAAACCTTAAGCTCATTTTTGACACTTTCCAGTGGTGTGATGGTAGATTATATAACAAGCAGTAAGCTCTCAACTCTGGTGGAAGAAGAGGAGGAAGGAAGGTCAGATTTCCCCGTGTAAACACTTCCACCATGGTTCCTTTCTAGTCGTAAACATGGGGCCCCTCAGGAGTCCCAGAGAACTACAGCACATACATAATCAGCTGACTCTCCACTTACTGGACTCACACGCTCTGTGTTGTTCCCACTCCAGGAAAATCCACTATGAGAACTGGGGCTGCATTCTTCTTCCTTCGCGGAAAAGAAAACAATGGCTTCTGACCACACCGAGCCAGATTGCCGTAGATGATCCTAAAAATCGGAAGAGGAAGGATGGCATGGTGCACATCAGAAACACAGCCCCATGGCATTCTTGGTCACAGTTCGGGCTCAGAAAAATAGCTAATTTCAAATATTTGCTCAGTGCTTAAAAGTTTTCCCAAAGCCCTAAATCCAGGAGGAAGATAGAGCGTTCCCAGGCCAGACTAAAACCTTTTAACCTTAAGTCTCTTAAACATAAATATGTTGCCAAGATGCCGAGTGGATATTTAAATCATCCACTTCCTGTTTCAATGCTATCTCTCTCTTTTGGAGAGGGACCAAAAATGCTTCATTCCTTCTGGCCCTGCTTTCTTCATTTAAAAAGGATTTATACTGCAGGGGTTTTGACTTCAAGAAGGGGGAAAAAAAGGCACATATTTTGGATGTCAGATTCTGAATGTTTTGACCCTTTCAAACAAAAACACACTTCTCTGTTACCAGTGGGTAAGAGAAATCGGGTCTAGAACATATCCCAAAGACTGCCAGAGTGATGAACAAGGAGGGGAAATTTGGCCCACCAACTATAACTTGTTTGGAAACATGGAGAGTAGTCTATCTGACTAGATTTTCACTGGACCCCTTGTAAACAGTTTTGTTTAAATGTAATTTATGATCATCTAGGTATTTCTAATGTGCTGGAATTAGCAGTCTGCTCATCTTTAAATGGGATAAAAACATGAGCTTTGTGAAGTTCTCAGAAAAAACAATGAGGAAATAAAAGATTGTGAATGATGTACACTGGGCAGAAAGAGTTCTCTGGAAGTCCCCACCAGGATAAGCATTGGTGAGGAGTGAGCTGTGACAGTTTGGACTGGAGATTCTTAAACAGTGTCTATTTGTGATCCCTTTTCACTCAAGAAATTTCATACAACCCTTGGTACATAGGTATATAAAATAGCTAAAAAAAAGCAAACATTCATGGATAATAAATCATAAAAAATGTATTTTAAAGTGAGATTAATTTGGGGCATACATATAATTTTACTTTTGATTAACCATCAAAGACAATTTGCATATGAATGGGATGGATATGTTTGTTAATTTTTACATAAAGAATTAGATCTTGGCTGAATATTTGCTGATACAGACATAGGGCATCTTCAGCATTTTCAGGAGTTGACCAATACTCTCATTTTACAATTGCCAGTGTTGAGAATGCTGCTTCATATCAACATACAAAACAAAATGGTATTATTACGTTGAGGGAGATTGCAGAAATTGTTGGAAACTGTCCTAATTTCAAGCCCAAATCCATCAGATGATTTTTATGAAAATCAAGACAGAAACTTAAGACAGCCCAAAGATATACTAATTTAATATTCACACGCTGAGGAATGGTAGCAGGAAAATAGTGAAAGACTTTGTTTTCTGTAATTGAGCCATTACGCTTTACCATATGTACAAGACCCACAGTTCATAATGTGCAGCAGCCTGGAATCTGAGCTGAGATGTTTCAGGCAGCGTTTACTGTTATGGCACGATGTGAAGGCATGTGTGGTGCAAAGCACACACCCCGTATGTTTAGAGTCAAGGCTGCAGTGAGGGGGCAGCATTGCCTCATGTTGGATTCTTTACATGTTATGTTTAGTTTTGAATCAATTTGTTGTTTCAACCAATCTGCATTCTCCATCTTTGTAGTTTGGAAAAACTCAATGGATTTTCTGATTGCTCTCCTGGGCCTTCTCCCCAATCCATATTCCCAGGGAGGCTGGGCATCACACAAGTGTCAGGGAACATTCTCGACTTCAACCCATCGAACTGACTTGCATTAGGCACTGTTGAGTATTTTGTGCTCCATGTTGTACTTGACACAGGAATTGAAAGTGGGTTATACTCAAATATCAGTGAATAAAAAATGTTCTGCTTTCTGGTAAGGTGGAGAGAAGAGAGTAATAAATCCTGTCAGCAGTAAATGCAGCAACAAGGTGTAGTCTATGAAATAAATTATAAATAGATTTTTCAATCAATAGAGGGCGAGGAAAAAGCATCCAAGACCAAGGAAACCTTAGCTGACAGCACATGTTGATTGATGTGTGCTTGGGAAAACCTGTGGGCAACCTGGGTGGTTAGGCATTCCTCCGCAGCCCAGGGGTTGCCAAGAGGCTTGCCCATACACAACACACACGTGGGCTGTCAGCTAAAAGGCAATGGGGAGGCATTCTTAGACTGAAAAGAGAGACAGAATGAAGGCCCAAGCAGAGCTCACAAGAAAGCTTCAGGCTTCATGAAACTCTCCATGCTTCCCCTTACTATAAAAAACACCTAAAATAATTTATACTTCTTATAGTGCGTGCCTTTAATCCCAGCACTTGGGAGACCAAGGAAGGCAGCTCTCTGAGTTCAAAGCCAGCCTGGTCTACAAAGTGAGTTCTAGGACAGCCAGGGCTACACAGAGAAACCCTGTCTCAGGGGGAAAAAGTAAGAAAAGTTCATGTGAGCTTACAGTTTTAGAAATTTCTTTCCACAATCCATTTGTCCCATTGCTTTGGGTCTGTGGTGGTGTCACAGGGCCAGAGTACAGAGTGGAACAAAACCACTCATTTCCAAGCCAGGATGTCACAGACAGAGAAAAGGGGCTTGCTTCCCACCAATTCCTCATCCCATCCATGACCGGAAGACTTCTGTCTAGGCTCCACCACCCTCAAGTACCACTATCAGACTACAAGCTTTAGGGACACTTAACAATAACACTGGCACACACTTTGTGGATATAAGACACCATCAGCCACTCTGGGGGTGGCACTCATGAAGGCAATGGTTTTGTCTCCTCATTAAGCAGTTCAGTCCCTGCTGAGGCTCCCCCACTGAGGAGCTATCTAAAAGGGCGGGTGTTATCCTGGGGCACTGGAAACGTGGACTATCACAGCCCATATTCTTGTAAATAAATCATGGTATAATTACAATCAATGGAAAAGTAGGGACCAGATCCCCCGCCAGGCCTAATCTGGCCGTTCAAAGGCTCATCAGACATGGGAGGATTTAGGAAACACTGATTAAGACAGCTGAGAATAACTTGGAAGATTTGCTTTCTCCAACCATTTGACTTACTTCATATGGATAGGATTTAAGTCTAGTCCCTGGAAAGGCAAGATTGGGCCAATTGAGTTGATTAGACACTCAGTCACCAGCAGCTAGTCATAATATGTTCACCTCTGGTGAGCATTTATGATGCTAATGTTTATTCTACCTTAGAGAATAATATTAATCAATTTAAATACCTTTATAAAAATTCAATATCTACTAAGTGTTTTGGTGACCTTCCTATGTCTGTAAGCCATCCAAGATTCCTTTTACAAGTTTTTAGTCTCTGGTTTTCTAAACATTGTCCAAAGAAGGAGGGAAAAAAAAAACACCAAACTCAAGGGTGTTCTTGCGGAATTTGGCTCCCATGTCCCATTCTGTCTGTATAGTTTAATTTTTTTTCTAGCAGTGAGAGTAAGTTCTCATCACCTCTGTAACACAAAGCTCCAAGCTGGCTCAGAGCCTCCGGTGCTTGGGAGGAAGCTGTCCAGGCATTGCTATCTAAGAGGCTCCAAAGTTGATCTGAGGGAATTTTAATCTTATTTTCTTTGTTTTCCAAAGAGACTGCACTAAACTTTTCTTTTCATGCTGGAAAATAAAAATTGACAGACATGACCAAAACTGACATGTCAAAATATAGACAACAATGAAACATACATTTTGTTCTAGACGGAGTTCTCCTAGGAAAGACAAGTTGAAGGCAACCCAGCTTGAAATGAAAAAAAAAAAAAAAAACTTATAAGAAGGAACTAAAGCTTATTGGGCCCCAATAGGCCCAGGGCTAAGTTATTTATTTTATTTCATTTAATCTTCCTCCCAAGTTCTACAGAGGGGGAAAAGGGAGCACAAAGCTTCACTATCTGCCTGGACTCTCCTGGGCTTTTCACACCACATGAACATTCTCTCCTACGTTCTCATCTGTCAGCTGCAGATGTTCAAACTGCTTCACTGTGGTGTTCTGAAGCCATGAGGAAGAATGCTGTGATTCAAGAGACTAGAGCAAGCTACGGGTAAGTCTGCTATTCTATGCTATTTGTATGTCCAGTATTATAGGAAGTTGTCTCCCAGAAAATGTATTTGTGACTTTAACTTTAAATTTGGGGGTAAGAAGGAAACAAAAATCCTCAAAGGTTTTAGCCTGCACTTTCTTTCCTCAGTAAATATAGATTTTCTCCCCTTTTGAGTTATAGTATTTCTACTGATTGTATTCTTTTCTTATAATTGTTCAGTTCTCATTATAAAATCTTAAGCTACATTAGTTTTAAGATAGGGCTTCACTTCTGTAGTTTAGGCTTACCACAAACTCATACTCTACCTCTCTTCCTCCTGAGTACCAGGATTACAGAGGTATGTCACCAGGCTCTAATTACTTTTTAAAATCATTCTTTTTTTTTTTTAAATCACTTATATTCAGAGTTAGGATTAGTATTATAACCAGGGCTGTTTGGAGTTTATTTTTAAATACTTTCGTGTAGACAGTGTAATCTACACATGTGTGCAGAATTAACTGTAGCCTAATTCTGGGGAGTGTTGTTAGTAGCTGAATGACCCACTCAAGAGTATACACTTCAGAAAACAGTAAACTGGAGTTTTAAATACCACTGTCTGAATCCATACCCCAAAAAGTCTATAATTGGCCTAAAGGATGCAGAAACTTTTCACTAGGCAAATGAATGGGTATTGAACTTATGTGATTGGTTTGGCTAGAAAGGTTGGTTCAGACCTTCTCATCCTGGTGTGTACGGGGTCTGAAGATCTGATGAATTCACCATGGGGTTGTGCTGTAGATCTGGGATTTGGTTTAAGGCCTCTATCTATTTAATGAAAGACTGTGGCCTTGCTAGAACAGTGAGCTGGCCCACCATCAGAATACGGTAATGTCTGACAGCAGGGTGATCCTTTTGCAGGAAGTACTTACCAGACCACTTACAAGGACAGAGTGGGGAATTTACCACTGGTCAAAGAGCAGATCTTGTGGCTGTATTTGTGCCTCTTTGCTAATAAATATTTGTATATATGGCAGAACTTAATCTCTGAGACCTGTTTCTGTTTTAGCTGATCAACTGGTATTGAGGTGGAGTGTAGGGCACACATTTAAAAATTGGAGATTATTGGCATCCCCCGTAAGGAGCCAATATGCAGGAGAACGGTATGTAGGCAAGTTAGCTTGGGTCACCTCTAAGAGGCAATTGTCTTAAGTCTAAAAGGGTCTTCTCCTTCTGCAACTCTCCTACTTACCCAGCCCCGCCCCCCAACAACTTCTCAATAATTCCAGAGAAAGAGAAGCAGAACACGGGAAATGAGATTAGTGAATGAAAGAAATATCAAAATAAGATGAGAGAGCAGAGTGCCATAGTCACCAAAATAACAAACATTTTTTACCCTAGAGCTACATGTTGGATTTTTGTAGAACGAATAAGCCCATGAAGAGTTCATCAGGGTGAATACGAGTTTCAAGGATACAAATGAATGAAAAATGAAATCAAAGGAGGTGGACACGACTCCTCCTGAAGTATGGAGCAGACTTTTATTGTAGCTCTAAGGGAGGAAGCAGGCAGAGGGAAGAGTCCAGGCTGAACATAGCTGACAGACTAAACTGGACCATGAGAGGAGAGAGGGGGAGGGAGAACAAGAGAGGAGCAGCTGACCAAGAAAGGCGGCCCAGACCAAGAGGCCAAGAGACCCCATAGCCAAAATGGCTGACTCAGCTAGGGATCAGGCTGGGAGGGAGAGGTTTAGGGTAGGGGGAGGAGTGAGGAGTGCTGGGAGAAAGCCACGGGTGCCTGAGCCCCAGGCTTGAGATCTAACAACTAGGTCATACTATTAGAAAGTTTTGAAATACTTAAAAGGAAGAGAAGGGGGGAAAATCAGGCACCACACAAATACTCAGTAATCAAGATGGCGTCAGGTTCTTTAGGATCAACACTGGAACTAGGAGGTAGCGAAATAATACAGGTAATGTCTTGAGAATTTTTAGGGGTAGTATTTACAGTCTAGAATTCTATACTCAGGCAAATAATTATTTAAGTATGTGGTATAGATAAATACAGATAAAGATATAGAGTCAATACATAGCAAGTGCATTTGCTAAAAACCACTGACTCCTTGTTTGGACCTACAAGGTAACTAAAAGCAGGATAAAAACCTGGCATTATGTCTTCATGCTGTATCTGTCTCCTTTACTTTGGGTCCAATTCCTACTGAACGTACATGTTAGACGCATTGATCACTCCAGGAGTGTATGTCTATAAACTGTTGAGACACCACTCATTTCCTCTTCCTTCAAGGTCAGAGTAACTGAAGAACCTTACTGTCAGCTTTTAAATCTCCTGTTCCAAACCTGCACAATATCTCTATTCACTGTCCTAAACCTGCAGTCACCTTGGAATCCAAGACACAGCATTTCTCCGGCAGACCACCCAGGATGAAATCACTCCCAAGCAGAAGCAATCATCTCACGGTAACTGGATTGTCACCTCAGGCAATAAGGACTTCTTTAAACCATCTTGCAGAACCAGAACTGAGATAATGATCAACCAGACCACACCTTGACCAAGACTACTTATAAAGCATACCTCTTGCCCTCTGCCCCAGTTCCTCCTAAAGCTCAAGTCAATACCTAGAGAACGTGCTGAGATGTTTAATCTCATTTCTATTGTGCAAAATAAAATCTTTCCTGTCTCTTTACCATCACTTCCACATGCTTTCTTTGTGATCCGGTGGCCACACTTGCTATGTTGGGACCCCCACCACTGGCCTTAGAATTCCATTACATTAGGATAATTAATTAAGTTCTTAAAAATGACATCTTCACTGAACGCTTGCTTATCCACTGAATCTTCTGGGTGATCTTCTCCATCAAAACAGAGTTTAAAGAGAGAGGGAGAGTGGGGACCAGGAAATGGAGGATTCAAATTTCCACCCACATATGAAGGAAATTCCTCTCACTCTTAGAAAGGAAATTCCTGAGATGATTGAGAAGTGAAGACGTACAATGGAGAGCTATGCAACAAACCTAGAAAATTTCCAGAAGTTTTCAGAAAAGGTAGCTGTAGACAGATAATTATTGACAAATTTCTCTGTATGTTTAGCTGTACTAGCAATAAAAAAAAAAAAACACTCATCAGGTACTCTTGGGGGGATTTCAGTAATAACAAAAAACCAATCTAGTAAGAGAAGGGCGGTGATTATGAAATCGTGGGGGAAGTAAGAGGTAGTAATAAAAGCAATTAAAAGTAATCGGATGTGGTCATCTAGGAGCAATACTCATGTGTTAGAATGATGTTTGAAGGCTAAGGAGGACAGTGTGTTAGAAGGGAGAGATTGTATTAAAGAGGTATGCTAAACCTTATCTCCCAAACAAAGGTGGTATGAGACATTACCCACCAAACAAAGGTGGTGTGAGACATTACCCACAAAACAAAGCTACAGTCCACCAAGACAGTGTGATTTCCGAATGAGAACAGACAGCAGGCAGAAGAACTACAGGAGTCAGAGTACACCTACATAGGAGGCAACATTTTCATTTTCAACAGAAGAGCCTATGCAGTTCAGAAAGAATGCAGTCAACTGTCCTGAAACAGTTGAGAGCTAATGGAAAAATTTCATTCAGTGGCTACCTGGTATTATGTCTCAATATTAATCCTCTCTAGAATATAGACCTAAACATAAACACCAAAATAATAAAACTTCTTAGAAAACAGGAGACTTTCTGCCTCCTGGGCACGTACATATATTTCTCAAAGAGAAAAGAAAAGACACGAGTCACATTTAAAAGAATGATGCATTGCATCTCATGAAAATATAAAGCTTTGGTTTATCAAAAGACAACATTGAAAAGTGGAAAGGCAAGTTACTGTCTTGAAGAAAATATGCATAATACATAATTTTGATTTATATCTAAAAGTACAATGAAATATACTCCCTCAAAATAACTAAGTCAAAATTAAGCAGGCATGGTGGCCTATACCTGTAACGCCGGCGCTGAAAAACTGAGGTAGGAGGACCACTGTGAGTTGAAAGCCAGACATGTACTACATAGTAGGTTTGAGATCAACCTGGGCTACATGGTAGAACTCTGTCTTCTTCAAAGTTCCATTTAAAAATTGTGCAAATAACTTGATTATAACCTGCTTCATAAAGTCAATCAGAACAAACCTCCACATGCATACCGTGGCATGCACACCCCTGCACACGTATCACACACACACACACACACACACACACACACACACACACACACACACACACACAAGTATTAATGGCAATAATAATAATTTAAAATTGGTAATTTGTCATTAGACATATGCAAAGCAAAACCACAAGAGAAAACCATGGTTTAAATATAAGAGACTAAATACCTCAAATATCATGAAAAGCATGAAACTAATTTATTACTTCTAAAAGTTGAAAATGGCATGAACATATTTTGGCAATTTCTTACTAACTTAAACATGTATATAATCTTAGGCACAAAAAATTCATTTCTAAGTTTTTGTTCAAGATAAATAAAAATGTATGTTTGTACACACACACCCTTTACATGAATAAAAGTACTTGAATGTTACAGTATTTTTATTTACACTATCCCAAAGTGAAAATGTAAGTGACCCTTAACAGGACAATGGAAAATAGACTATGCATATAATTTTCATCAGTTAAACAAGAAGAACTTGGTATACATGCAACAATGTGGATGAATCATAAAATCACTGTGTGAAATAGACTATGCCAAAGTCAATATAAGGTTTAATTTTATTTATATGAATTTCAAGAATAGATATATTTAATTTATGACAACAGCAAGTTAAGCAGTGATATAGAAAGAAATAGGGTAAACAATAAGAGACTAGGGAATTCTTATAACCTTAATCTTGTGTGTATGTGTACGTGAGTGCTGGGCCTAAGGTTAGGTATAAGTTTACTTTTGTAAAAGAAATTGTCAAATTGTTCTCCAAAGTTAGTGTGTCGTTTTTTAACTTTTGCAAGGTAGGCAACTGGGATTTCCCAATACAATATAAATATAGTGTATTTAAATTCTAAATATTTCCCATGGGAAAATTTTATTTTCAGTGTGCATGCACATAATGACATTTTAGTCAATGATGAACTATGCATACAATGGTGCTTGAGACACTCAGCGACATCATGGCCATATTAGTTTAAATATGTTCTAAGATGTTCATACAATGACAAAACTGCCCAATATCACATTTCTTAGAACATGCCTCCCAAGTGATACTTTCCCCCAAGTGGTACATGACAGCTTTCAACCTGGGAAAAATAAAACAAAACAGAACACAACACAACAAAAACCTACAAGACAGAGAACAAAAATTTTACTGGTAGTGAAGAGAATAACAGCCAACTTCCCTTAAACAACAATACTTAGTAAAAGAAAGTGAAATGTCTTCAGTCACAAGCAAAATATTTTATACACAGATAAACTAATATTCACATGTATGCACTAAATAGAAAGCAAAACATCCATTTTTTGAAGGTCAAATAATTTACTGCCCCAAATTGTGTTTTAAGGAATTTCTAAAGAATAAATAAGAACTTGTATGCAGGGGTTGTAGCTCAGTAGAAGAGCATTTGCCTAGCAAGTGAAAAGCCTTGGGTTTGGTACCCAGCTCTGGGGTGGAGTGTGGAGCTTATATCCAGAAAAGATTAGTGGTATGTTGGAAGCAAGGATAAACCATTTACATCAATAAAAATGCATTGGTAGGTTATTGTAAGTATTGGCTATTTTACACAGATGCATGGATGGATGGATGGATGGATGGATAGACAGATAGATAGATAGATAGATAGATAGATAGATAGATAGATAGATAGATAGATAGATAGATAGATAGATAGAGCCAGCAACTAACCTCTTAGATTTAAAAACAAAGCAAAGAGATTATTAAACAATGATCACTTGCACATGAATAGGACATATTAAAAAGTTAGCAAAGCCTGGACTTTGTCATATTTGCTTGTTAAATTTTTAAAGAGGAACAAAGCCGGATGCAGTGATACATACCTATCATTCTAGTCCTTGGAGGATGAAGCAGGAGATTCTAAAGTTGGGGGCAAGGATGGGACATACTGCAAGTTCCAGCCCAGCCCAGCCAAGAACTACTTAGTAAGACCATGTCTCTAAACAAATGAGCATTTGAAGAAAAATAGGAATGAAATGTTTACACTCCCAAAGAGTTAAAAGGGAGTAAATAAAACTAAGGAAAGAAGAAAACAGGGGATCAAAGAATATCCATGGAAAAGAAAATCTAAAATATTAGAAATAAGACTAAATTACTTTGTATACAAAATATTTGAAAGTATTAGAAAAGTACTCTGATACCATTAAAAAGAAATTTAAAGTTAACAGGAATAGATTTACATAATAGTTAAACCTAATTGAAAGGTTTTAAACAAATTATAAATCCTCAAGTGAAAGTATTCATTTTTTGTTTATTGTAAAAATCTAGTATTAAAAATAGCACACTTAAAAAAACAACACATTTATATTAACTGTTTTATTGATATAGTATTTATTAACCAGCAACATCTTTACTCTGTCCAGATTTTCAAAATTCTCTTTTTTTTTTTTTTTTTTTTTTTTTTTTTTATGGTTTTTTGAGACAGTGTTTCTCTGTGTAGCTTTGTGCCTCTCCTGGAACTCGCTTTGTAGACCAGGCTGACCTCAAACTCACAGAGATCCACCTGCCTCTGCCTCCCAAAATTCTCTTTTTATGTGTAATTGTAAAAAGCCTCTTAGCCAGGCGGTGGTGGCACACACCTTCAATCCCAGCAGAGCCAGGCGGATGACTGTGAGTTCGAGGCTAGCCTGGTCTATAAAGTGAGATCCAGGACAGGCACCAAACTACACAGAGAAACCCTGTCTTGGGGGGCGGGGGTGGGGGTGGGGAGAAAGCCTCTGCCATTTAACAAAGGGACCTCCTCCTCCTCCTCTTCATCCTCCTCCTCTTCCTCCTCCTTCTTCTAGTGTGCCTCTGTTCTTGTGTTCTGCTTTTTGTTGTTGTTGGCTTTGGTATGATTATTATTGTCCTCAGTCCTGACCCTTTTCTATCAGATATCAAGAGACTTCAAAAATATTTACCAAGTATTCCTTGCTTTTCTTAATGAAGAAAGATACATAAAAGTGGCATCTAACAATTCACCAGCATATCCCCTCTGTCCCCAACCTGGAACAACCTTGCTTGATCACAGCTGTGGCACTCTTTACTAAGTTTCTTTTATACATATTGAATGGTACATTTTTTCACATAGACCCCAGGTGAATCAAGGTCTCTTTATATGCCAGAAGGCCAACCCAAATGGCACATGTTTGCTTTACCAACCTCTGTAAAGTCGGGTGGTAATTTATATTGATTACATAAGAAGAAACTCCATCCCTGGTACAACATGTTCTTTCAGCTGCAGAACCACACCTGTAGAAATGCTAACGCACATCTGGTTCCATAAATCTGTCCTTTCTGATTCTCTGGGGAGATATTTTTATGTAAACTATATAGCTACATGTGGACCAGAAAAGACCAAAACAGATGTGCCAAACCCAGTAACCATTTCCACCCGAGCCCTGAGCTTTTATTTTCTTCCCTGACTTGGAGGGTTTGGCGTCCTATTTGAGGGTTGACACAATCCTT